TTTTTTTCTGAGGCTTTCCATCAAGTGCTTTGCTAAATTTTGGATGATTTAATTTTAATGGGTCTAATGTTGCTGTGTTCAATGCACTTGTTTTCTAACTAATTAGAAACAGATGAAGGGACACTAAAATGTAATGAATTAAAATACACTGCTGAACTACTGTAAAAACAAGAGAATTTGGGTAGCATAGTTAGTTCTTTTTAAGTACATGTTTCTTTCTCGTGACTTTATTTCAGTTTAGTTGCTTACTATGTTATTAGACGTTTCCAATTAAATTAGAGAGGTGAAGTAAAGAATTTTAATTTTACCAAAGATAATCTCACCTTGTCCACTCCTGCACTTAAAATGAAGTTTCCTTTCTTGTTCCATTTTAACGCAAATATAGGACCTTTATGTTGCCCTAAGGTGCTGGCAAGATTACCTGAAAATTTATATTGATATGAATACATTAAAAAAATTAAAGTCACAACGAGGAAAATTTACTGGAAATTAAAGGCATTTCACTTACCATCTTTAGTCCATATCCTTGCAAACCCATCATAGGACCCAGTTGCTAGAAGTGTACCTTCACTCTGCCAGCACAAAGGTTATTATTATTTTTACTGTACAAAGCAAACTGCAGGCAGAGGCTTCTGCACAAGATTTATGAAATTTATTCAGTACATTGCAGTTTACTAAAAAGAAGTCTCCAAAGTACAACACAAAAATTTACAATGCAACTCAAAAATAGAAATACTTTAAGAGCCATAAAAGAGGATGCCTCATCACTGCTACTTTAACTTTCACTATGTAAAATCAGATACAACTTCCTCAGAGGATTTTGGGCAACTTCTACTTACGTTCCAATCCAGGGATGTGACATCTTTGTTGCTCGGTACATCCTGCCCTCCTTCTCGTATACAGTGTCGAAGTACCAGCTGCGTGGAGCCACTTGTGCTGTTTTCACTGAGGTTCCATATCCGTGCCGTTGAATCCCCAGATCTACAAAACAGTTGTGAGAATATAAACACCTTTCTCTATTTCTTTCAGAAAAGGTTCCCCTCCATCAGAGCAGTAGATGTTGCAGCAAATCTGATGTAGGCAGCTGTGGGGAAGGTTTTGTTTTATTTTATTACCATAAGAATACAAAGTACATCAGCAAATGTTACTATGTTTTACTTAAGGACATACATTTTCCCGGATGGCTGTGCTTACACATGTGAATGAGTTTGTTTTCCTTTCTGTACTTATATATTTTTTCTACATTTTTGAAAGTATGCCCCCTTTCATCAAAAGGCATCCAAA